AACTTTTATTACGATTGCTGATAACATTGTCATTTGTCTTACACGAAGCTTTTTAAGTGGTCCATTTGTTTCATAGATGAATGAAATGTGGTACGTTAATCACAAAAGAAAGAAACCACTAATTCAACAAATAAGCTCCAGTCATGCTCAAAGAGTTTAATTAAGAGATCAAAGAAAAGCTTAACAAAGGTCTAACTGAACAACAGTTATCAAACGAAATCAAAAGTTACAGAGTAGAAGGGTTAAAAGGTAACAAAGTTGTATCGATTATTCAGTTGTTTGATGCATTTATTGAACGAAATTTATGGTATGATTGAAAACTGTTGAAAAAAATATAAAAAGAAACATTATGAAAGATCATGGATGTTTTTTTAGGCAACGAAACAGAAACATAACGTTTTAAACTTTAATGCATTACGATGGAAAGATGGAAAATTTTGCAGAACAGATTTTGACTTCTTTAGGTAAAAAAACCATGGTTAATGACGGTGTTGTATAGATCGTAAAATTTTATAGCACGTGAAGCAGCATATCGTTCTAAAGGATTCTGACTTGCAAAATTTCGCTGACTTTTTGCCGGCCATCATACACATTCGACTATTTAAATCTTTACAATCTAAAAAAAAGAATGAAAATAAACTGTGATTAGTTTGTCAATATTGTATCCCACTTGTTATATCAAATGCATCAATTAAGCAATTCACGAACAAGTCTACATAGGACTACGTACACGAATACATATTTGTTAAATATATTGACAAATACCAAAAACAGTTAGAATTATTACAGGATTTTTTTACAGGTGGCGTTAAAGCAAAACTGTACCTTTACTCTGCCCATTTGAATCAACACAATCGCCTAATTTGCACCACTGAAATTTATCAATCTTATATTGTATTCAAAAATTTTGCCTACTTAGACAGTTTTTCTCTTATTTTTTTGATAATCACTATAACGGCAAAGAATAAATATGCTTACATCTGGCCAAAACGTATCAACAAGCTTTAACATTCAAAACAAAAAAAAAAGTTGCAAAAAACTGCAGTCTTCAGCGGTTTACTGCACTCTAATAACAAACCATTGAACGCTTTTCCGTTTTAAGATTAAAAAAAAGTACAGAATGCGAACTCAATAAAACATTACGTCTAAAAAAGCGAAATAAGAGGACGAAAAAAAGATGTTTAGCAAAGGAATGATTGTTTTTTGCATGCTAAAAAAGCTATTTTTTATAAAATGATTTATAAAGAAAGTAGAATAAAAAGTGTAAAAATTAAAAAAAATAATTGTTTCTGTATCTGTATTTTAAGGTTATCATTTAAATTTTATGCGTAATTATTAAAAACAAATTTTGTATAGAACAAAAATAAAATGCTAAAATTTTTTTTTTAAATATCGTTATGAAAAGGTCAGACATAATCCATAACCAACTATTTTATGAGGTCTGCAAAAAAATAAGATACTTGACAGGGAATAAAAATTAATACAAAACAACACTTCTATTTGAAGAGCACCGTACTTTGACAGAAAAAAACTGTCCTTCCTCCAACATAAAATTTTTAATGGCAGTACTTCGCCCAGTTAAAAATTTAATCTCACTTTGTTAATTACATTACTTATAACCAACTGAAAATAAAATCTTTCTGTAACAAACTTTATATTGCTATAAAACGAAAAAAGAAAAGTGCTTTTTAAACAACTACATACCTGAAAATCACCGCAATATGTTCCGTCTAAAAGTGGCAGATAGTTTTTAGTTTCACAGTCATCCTCTTCATTCAAATGCATGTTCTTGCACCACAATCTGCCACAACGACTTTTTTCTTCATAATAATCATCATGCTAAAAAAACTTCATTTTATCTTTGGTTTTTCAAAATACCACTAAACCCTTGTTAAATAAAAAGACAACAAAAAATTGTTCTAACATTGCAAAACTGGTAGTGTTCTCCAAATGCAATCTGACACTGTTGATCTCGTTGAAAAATTTCACCAGGTAAATTCCAATCTTGGCCTGGTTCTTGATCAAGCTTCAACTTTCTTGATTGAAAGCCCCCTTTTCGAAGGCAGTTAAACTTTTTTTTTCTACAAGAGAAAAAGCCTCGTAACGCGCTTATTCACATTTTCATTAGAAAGGCAGAATAATTATCCGAGTTCCTTCTTCTTAAAAATTTTGTAGTACTTACTGCACTACCAACAATACTTTTCTTGAAGAAATTTATTATTTGTTTTGCTTGTCATTTAAAATTGATTAAAATATTAAAAGAGCTTAAAATTACCGAAGAAAATTGCGAACTTGCTCTTTGGAACAGGAGGAAAGCCTGAACGAGTTAGTTAGTTTGGTTTCATTATCTGAACCTGCCACCAGCGGAGCCATCAAATAGTTTGCTGCAGTTTCGCATTGATTTCCAGTCTCTATGCCGTCGTGAAAAGCACCCAAGCTGATTTAAACAGGAAAGTATAATAAAGTAAAATACTGCATGAATGAGCATTAAATTAGCAAACCAAATGAAACCTGTGGATTATTTCATGAGCAGCAATTACTGAAGTCGCCATTCCGCCAACATCTTCAATGATGCTTGCAGACCCGGACTTCTCACAGATGTTACCAACGTATGCCATTCCTTGTGTTCCTGAATTCCCTGCTGTCGACAAAAGATCGTGCCTTAAAGTAGCAATACTGTTAATATTTTTCATTACAGTACTGAAGTAATGTTTTCAGTATTTCATCTTTAAAGTATGACAATAAAAAATTTTGTATTGTTCGACAAGATATCTTGACTGAAAATTATTAGTGATTGGCACATTTAACTACAAAAAAACTTTGAATAATTGTTACACATTTCTAGCAGAATTTAAGCAACTTACAAAAATTAGACAAAGTCTTACATGGTTATAACAACTGTATGATCATAATAAGGTAACCTCTTGGCTTCTTTTATTAACCATTCATGTATCATATTTACAGCTAAGAGAGCATCAACCTTTGAAATACACTAAAAACCAAGAATGAAATAAATGTATCCAAAAAAGTTTGAGTGAAACCGGAGGCTCAGGAAGCATCGGCATTAATGCTCGTTTTATTTTAGTCTTCAGTAAAGCTCAGCTTTTGATAAACTGTGACTCTAACATTATCAAATTTTTCTTTAATTTGTTACTTGAGGTACATCAGTTTTAGAGCGGTTCCCAATCGAATTAATGCAAAGTTCTGCCAACGGAGATTTGTCGAGTTGATCTATAACTATCAGTCCGGCAAGATTCAATGATATCATTTCAAAACTTGAGACAGGATTTGATTCGAATATAACACGTAACTAAAAGTTTGACTGCAATTAAATATGAAAAAAAAAACTACTTCTTAGAACTAAAATCATGTTTTTCTTTCTTTTTTTTTTCTTTGCATACCTGTTTAAATACTGCTTTTAAATAGTTCATTGCAGTAATTCTGCTTAAATCATCGTTAAAACTGGCAATTTTTAAAAATTTTTGATAAACTGAATAGTCTGCTATCATAAGAACATCAATCTGATACACCGGTGACAGCGTTGTCGCTTTTGCAGATTGTTCGAAAACAGAGTGAAGCTTCTAAAAGTTGATAATAAAAAAATTCAATGTGGACAAAAACAAAAACAAAAAAACTTTATTTTATAGAATACCTTTTCAAAAACAACTTTTCCAGCTAATGACTTTCTCTGAAATAATATAGCAGCTTCGCCTATAACGAAACTTTTTAATACAGATTTTTAGTCAAAAAAACTGAAAAATCATTATCTTTATATCCTGTTTGAAGTCGTTGCTAAAAAAAAAGAATAGATTACCATCAGTATAAACCTGCACTGCCATAAAAGCGCAGAGATATTTTAAGGGCAAAAAAGCAATGGATACTACACGTTTCCTCATTTATTTTCTTAATTGCAACTTCTGCTAACGAATTTTCTTGTTTGAATTTTTTGGAAAAATCAGTTCAACTGTTGATAGCTGACAAAAAGAGCCTGAAAAGGGTAATTTACAATTGGTTGAATAGCAAAATTTAAATTTACCAACTTCGTACACCTTAAGAATACAATATTTTAGATGACAAAAGTTTCTTTTTTTAACGGATAGCTAATAGAAGGATGAAAATAAAGTGTTAACGAATTCTTTTGAAAATATGTTTGTTTTCATCAACGAGCATAATCGCTCTTCAATAATCCTATAGAAAGTCAGAGAAGTTTATATAAACAAACAGCTACCCTTAAAATATCAGTTGTCTCTAGGCAGTCGACAGCCAACCAAAAAACAAAACATTTATTGACCTTTGTTTTTTTTTTTTTCTTGATAACTGTCATTTAGACTATTCTAAGGTATCCTAGAACTTTTTTGCACCGACAACAACAACAACAACAACAAAATATTGGCTTTAATATGATCTTATTCAATTGGTCGTCAATTGATTAGTTTATAGAAAACGAAAAACTTGACTTAACAAAAATGTTACCAGTATAACAAATATGATGTTACCTTTTATTTTAAAATATTATATGCCTTTTTGTGCAGAAAATTTTTAAGGTTGCAATAGGAAACATTACAGTTAGCTTACCGTTTTCAATGCAAATTAAGTCTATCCGCTTTGATAACACAAAAAAATCGCTGTTTTGAATCCTGCTGCTTTTAATTTCTTCCTCTTCTGATCATTTCTATTTTAAAACTGAATTTAAATATCAAAAAATAAAGTTGTTTCTACCACTTCTGTTTCGATTGTATTCTAGCTGTAAGAGAAGTTTTGTACCTCTTGCACTCAGTCAGAAAATTTGGCGTATGATATATATGAAGAAAACCTGAATCTGCATTTATCAAAAAAAAAAAAGTGAAATTTTTTATCTTGTTTATTTTGTGACGCTGAACATTACTGGAAATTTATAACAATATTTTTTTATAAAGCAACAATTTATAACAATAAATTTATAACAATAAAGCAATATTTTTCACTTTTCATACAGTTCTACTACCGATTTTTTCCACAGTTCCAAATTCGGCTGAAAATTTATTTTTCTTTCCTTCTCTGACTGTATCTTCACTCGAAAAAATTTTTTTTCTCTGCTTTTAATTAATTTGCTTAGAAAGTTCCGCTCAAAAATTGACTCAGAAAAAGTGAACGAAGCAGACGGTGGCTAAAAAATGACTACTGCTAAAGGCCAACTTTATTGTTTTAAAGTATAGTGACATTTTGTCGATAAAGCTATCACCTTTTACGTGAACAAACACCATATTGGTTACAATTTTTATTGAGATCTGATACGAACAGAAAGCCGTATAACTGAAAAAAAAGACTTCAAAGGCAGAAAGAAAAAAGCATTTACTCAGGTAACATATGAAGATGATCGTAGTTCGCGATGAGCTTTACTATAATTCTACATCATCTCTGAAGGCTTTTCAAAAAATTTGATTAAAAGAACTAAAATTTTGAAGCAGATTGTTCCTATCATGATGAAAAAGACAAAAGGTTACGAAAAGATGAAACTTTGGAACTTTTAAGTGCAAAATTTCTTTTATTTTTTTAAATTGTCCGAAAATTTTTCTCCATTTTACAACCCAAATTTTTCCACTTTCTAACTTTGCTAGTATTAAATTTCAGCATTGCCTTTTTAGCAGAGGAAACCATTTTTTTGCACGTTTTTTTTTCTTCCTTTCTTTTTTTTATTTTGATTCGTCGTCAGTAATTCGTATCTTTATTGAATGACCTAAAACTTTTAAAAGACAGATGTTCAAAGTATATATATATATATATATATATATATATATATA